ACCCGCTAACCATAGCCCTAAGCACGACCGCTATATCGATAGTTGTTATATGGATTCACATTTTTTGTAAAATTTCGAGAAATTTCGTGGCAAGATTTTGAGTATTAAGTAGCTGTTGAAAATTATTAGCAAAGCAAATTTCTTCATGCAACGTATGCGATGGTTGGAAGGTAATCAGAGTGAAAAACGACAAAGTGAAAAGGGCATTTATTTTCTGAGGAACTGCGTAAAACACGAACGCGACCCGCCACAGACTCGCACAATCCTGGTTGCCTACACTTGACCGCTCGGGGCAGATAACATCCGATAAAATGCTTGTCTTGTATTGAAGCGTATCGATTCGTATACCTCGACGGGTTTCTGGGAGGTAGCGGACGCATAGGCGGCGCCTGCGTTCGGCCATATTCGTCAACAATTCGTATTACAAGTATTAAAAATAGTCAAAACCTTGTGGTGTTTGTGCTTGATGGACTGCTGCATTTTAGCCAAAAAACTATGTTTTTATTTGTCAATATTATTTTATTTTACCTTTTAACAGCAGGCATTTTAAATGATTGTATGATGTTTGAATTATAGTACATCTGATAATAAGCAATTTACAAATAAGGTCCTTGTGACAGCTACTATGCTGATAATAATAATAATAAGTCAACAACAATGGTGAGATTCGCCTTCAATGAAGACTTTGCGACTTTAAAAATCAACATGGCCGCTGACAGTGCACCAACTTGACAGTTTTTAGTTTTTATGTCGCAACTTTTAAGTAAGATAACTGTGAGGAGATCGTAGTTAAGAAAGAAAATGGTGCAAAATGTAGCTTAGTGTGTGAATTTATTGCCATAAGCGGAATTCTCCTCTGTATTAAAATGCTGTAGATACCTGAGGCGTACCAATTTTACGTTATTTTTACGGCCGTCATTGTATCATACGAATATAGCAAATGGATAAAGTATTGAAATAGGACATTTAATATGTGCATGCGCGCTTATTTTGAAATCTCGTTTTCAACAACCAGTATGGACGCCGGTCCCAATTTGACAGGTTTTAATTATCATTTAGTATTTTTACGACAGGTTAGTGGGTAAAATTTAGAACCATGCGCGAATGATCATTACCTTTATGGCAATATCATAGCCATCCGAAGCGCATCAATTTTTACCGTAATAATACACAAAAAATGCTATCTATCAACGGTTACACCATTTTACTAATTTGTCTTAAATATTAATAAACTTTATGGTAACTTAAACTAAGATATAATAACAAAAAGAAAATAACAAACTGTGGACAGTAAAAAACTACATCGTTCAGATGGCCGTACTACAAATCAATTTAACAAAATTTTGTCTTAATTAAATTTTAAAACATTCAAAGAACAGTGAGGTAAACAATCGTATTATATTGATTTACAAAGGAGACCAGGCTATTTGAAGGCATATTCTGAGCACGTCGAGTATTACTCAGAATGGGAGACAAAAGGTGACTTCTTCTCAGTTCTCTAGAAGGGACATGAAAATTAAAAGTTGACAGAATACAAGGTAAATCATTAGAACCATTTATCACTCGAAAGACAAAATATAAATGCAGAAATTTTGAAATGATGAAATGACATGAATTTATAAACCACTCTGGCCCATCCTATACCTGAGATACCTTAAAAACTTCTTCTGCACAGCCTCAATTCGGTGTTTGTAAATTTAGTAAAAATGAGATCAGATTGCTGACCCCTACTCCAAGATAGAATGGACATAAGAACTGTAAAGCAAATACATCCCAAAGTCTCATACAAAAAAATGACACAAAAAATACGAATGACCCAAATTTATAGAATTGACTAATTTTTTCGATATGGTGGGCAATGTTGACCCCATGTGCGCGCCCCTGCACGCATATTTCCCCCGGAGGCACTCATATATAAATGGCCTCCTCGAGTGGACTGACCTTGCATAAATTTCATACGAACGGCTCTCGGCTCTAGTTGGCTGCTACCTGCCTTATTTGGAACGCCATGTTCCTTTTGGTTTATTTGCGTTTTTTTTGCAGCCACCGCGCTTAATAAAATATTGCAATAAATTTCGCGACGCTCAGATGATTGACAAGTTCGTATAATTTCTAAGAATTATGTAAAAATCGGAAATTTATATGGATTTATGCCATCTGATCGGAATTTATCCTGAGCAAAATAAATAGATCCGTTAAGCCTGCGCGAAACGCTGTGGTTAATCGTGAAACTTTGTCGTTGCTTGACAGCTGACGCTGTGAATTTTCGAACCAATTTATCCTGAGTTGCCAAATCTCTGAAATTTCGTATTATTTGACGACGAAAACCAACGTTGGGTCTAAAAGTTCACGACCTAACCAATAATTAACGGAGAAGAACTAAACTAAACTACCTCAACTGAAAATGTGCATCGAGAAAGAATTGTTGGAAAATATTAAAAAGTCAACAAATCTGATATGATGTGGTACAATATGTTAAGATTTTGAGTAATGTTTTTAATTGTTGAATCTGTTAAACCTTTTATGCCACTTACTTGTGCTTAATTTTTTTTGTATATGACATCTGTTAATTGTTAATTGATCATGAAATTATAAATAATAATAATAATAATAATAATAACAAGCTTTTGACTAAATGTAACGCCAGATTCTACTGAGTACAGGAAGCTTTAGTGTAATAAAATATTAATAAATATAATACCTTAAGTGTTATTAATTTTACAAATAATCCAGACATATATAAACCTTATAAAAACAAACTGACCAAAAGAAGGGAAGAGGCACCAAAATATTGGATTGAATTAATTGAAGTTGCTTTTAGCCATAACTTTAAACTTAGTCAGTGACTGTGAGACAATTTTCCACTGAGCGATTAGACAATTTATAGCCGAACGCTTTGGAGGTTATGCTATAGAATTTATTTCAAATATATAGAAATGTTCGCTGCCCTATGCTTTCCTTTGCAAATGGTAGTGTTAAGTTTTCTTTCAGTTTTTCTCTAGTAAAGTGATCGTGAGATATGTGGTTGTTGAATAATGAGTTTTTCCGCATATGATTCATAGTTACTTTATAGTATAATTGCCGAATAATTAATACCCTGCAATACTTAAAAAGCTGATCCGTGGGATACTAGCCATCAAGTTGAAATATATTAGAGATTACTTTTATATGCACCGCCCCAGCCGGCAATGCCGTATAGTAAAAGTGACTGGGACCAACGCAAAGTATAAGTAAAGATTTTCTGTCCAATAGTATGCCAAGATATTTAATACGGTTTTTTATTTCTGTCACAATTCAGATCTCTGCGTCAGGTAAACCTTGGTAATGTTAAGGCGTTATTAGAAAAGAGTACGTACACAGTTTTTTGCAAATTTATGGTAATCAAGTATTCGTCAAACCATTTGTTTATTGCGCAAAGATCTGCTTAAAATTTGTTCCATTACTATTCACCGTAAGTGAATTATTTACGTAGATATTGAATAAAATGTCACCTAAGATTGTTTCCTGTGGTATTCCACAGCTAACAGTTGGTTTGCTACTAATAATGGCCTTGATTGTAACTGATTGTTTTCTGTTATGGAGGTAGCTCTTGAATAGGTCTAGCGCAAGATCAATGACACCAATTGATTCTAATTTGTTTATTAAAACACAGGGACGTCCTCCATGCTATCTTTTCAGATAATAATGCAATTGCATCAGTTGTATTTTTATTATGTATAAAACCAGATCGATTGTTAGAAATAAGCTGTTTATGTGAAGGTATTTTATCAGTGTTATTTTTATAACTTTCTGGAATATTTTACTTACATTTGATAAAATACTGATGAAAAGATAATTAATCGCCAGGATTCGATCACCTGCCTTGTATACTGGACTAACAATAGCCTCGTTAAAGTGTTGGCGGCACTTACCTGTAGAAATTAACATATTTATTATATACGATAGCGGTTTGGGTTATTTCTTTGGCAATATGTTTTAGAATCTCAACATCAATACCATCTTCTTCAAGTGTAGTTTTATTCTTCAGTTCGCTAATATTTTGTTCAATATCACCAATATCCGTTTCTTCAATAATCATCGAGCCTGTAACGTTATTATGATTTTCTTGAAAGTTAATGATTGTGGTTCGGATTTTATTCGCTAACTTTTGTCCAGAGTAGAGAAATATTCATTATGTGTTCCATAAATTTGCCAATTTTTTCTATATTATTAGTTGTGATATGGTCTTTATAAAAATTATCTCTTATTTTGAATTGAAATTTCCATTTTTAGCTATAGTTTTTAATTTAGGCATATCTACTTTTTTATATATAATTATTCTTCATTATTTTTACTTTTTATGTTATTTTTATTTAATGGTAACATTAGTAGTGTTGGAAAATGATCAGTAATGCGGAAATCTAATGCAACTGTTGTCATTTTCAACTCGTATATAAACATTGATTAAAGATGAAAACCCATGCTCACTCATACTGTGTAAATAATGATGAATATCAACATCGTTTTCATCCAGGATGTCTATAGTGAGATCTCCTAAAATTATGTCAGTATTTAAATAGTCTATAAATTCTGACTTTACGATATTGTGTGGTTTATAGATGGCTGAAAAACCAATTTGATTGGTCATGTTTTGTTAAATTCTGATTACTCAAACACCACAAATGACATGAAAAGTAAATTTAAAATTTGCCCAACTAAGCAGAAAATCGGTATTTGCTAGTTTGCATGTTTCAGTTAAAATTATAATATCAAATGGGTTTTCAAATTGTTGCATAACCTCAAACTGGGGAAAGTTCTTACCAATACTTCGAATGTTACTGTGAAAAGCTCTAAAATCTTGTTTGGTCGAGTCGCTAACAAAAAGTGAGTTTGCTGGGTCTATACAATCTGCTATAATGGTACAAAAAGAAAAGAAACAAAGAAATTTTGGTAAAATAACACAAATTAGCGAATGTGACCAGTTCGATTCAATGGTTGACGTTGTTTTTCTTTTGTTGCAGGTAATTTTCCGATTTAACCTTTGGGACGCCCATGTCTGCACCAGCCGAGATTATACGCTCAAAGTGGTAACAAATTTAGAGTACATTTTACAGTTTTTACCAGCAACAGATTTTTTTTAGTTTATTAATAAAAATGGTTTATAGATATTTACTAATTATTTTTGAATTATCGGTTTTCAATCACAGTTACTACCATCACTAAATTGCCATGGAATATATTGTTTTTATTTGTATATTTTCCAAAAAGTAAACGAACGTTTATTAATGGAATAACATGTGTGACAGTCTGGCAGTGCATATTTTTACTTAACTATAGTCGTATGTTCGCGCATTTTTAACTTTTGATCTTTAGGACATTAGGACGTTTGATTTCAAAGTCAGTTAAAGTTTTTGGTAGCATCCTATAACAAATATGCTGCCTTATGTCAATCACACTACTTATAGGATACAAACAGTTTTTACGAAATATTAATTTAATGTTCCACTTTTGGATTCATACCACTGGATATTTTGTTTGTACTAGTGCAAAAATACAAAGTTTTAAGACAAATAATCTTTTAAATACTTAAATTTGGGTAAATTATTAATTATATTATGTATCTTATTAATAATATATATTTTTTATTACTGCATATTTATTATTATTATACTGTGTTTATTAAAAATCCAATTACACAAATATTTATTGGAAAAAAATTTAAGGCGTAAAATAATAATTGCGTATTATTATTTCGTGGCCAGACAGGTTGTCGAATAAGGAAACAATCTCCAGGATAATTTATTTAATAGCGACACGGCGACTTATTGAAAACTGTACGCAAAGACGACGATCATAAAGGAGATTTGTTCACAATCGCAATTTGTTCTGGTTCGCGCCAAACTAACAAAAAAAAATGGAAGTGAATCAGCTGAGAACGCGGAATCGAATCAACACTTTAATGTTGACAGCTCCGAAAAAAAAACTCACTTGGTGTAACCTAGTGTAACCTACACGCGGAACTGCTACACAGAAACAAGAAGGTAGCAGAAAGAAAAAAAAGCCCGCGAGGTCAGATTACTCGGGGGGCCTATTAGATTGCCTTCCTTGTTCTTGCTTGCAACCGACCATTTGAACCAATTTCTAACAATTTCATACCGTTACGAAGGATTGCTTTACTGGCTGCAATTAGTCGGACGTAATCTGACATTACGTGTGGGACTTCGACATCCTACACTGTTTCATTTTAGCAGCAGGAAATCGTATCAACCCAAGTGGTGGTTATTGCTTAAAAATGGGGAAATAACACGTACAACAATTACAGCAGCAACTCATAATCAGAGATTCGTCATCATCGCCAATGTCTTTCCGATCACTCAACGTTGGGCACTATCGCGAAGGCCACTGCCGATCAGGCATCGCATCGTATGCGATCATTTTGCTTTTCATTAAACGTCGACCATAATTGCAAAGACCGTTCGACCATTTAGGTGGACCTGATATTCAATACCTCAGGTTCTCTAGAGCACATTAAAAGGTGATTTTATGAATATTTTGTCAAATTCATCATGTCCATTCTAAAGTTTTTAAGGTTTCCTCAAGACCTGAGAAACAACTTAGGGAAGTCGTATTTTTGGTAAACGACGGTGTAAGATGTTGGTTGTTTTCTTACGCAACCCTGAATTTGTATTAGAAATGAATTGGAAAGAAAGGCTTATTATTTATTTACTAACTCACTATATGCCGTTGGAGTCACCACGCCGCGGCTACCTTAACTCCGAAGAAAATCAACGAATATGGGCAACAGCGCATCGTCTGCGCAAAAAAACGGAGATGGTCTGCTGAACGATAACTCTAAAAATAACCGAGAGAGAAAGAGAGAGGGAGCATAGAGTAAATTCCAAATGAGCAGCGGTCTGTGACGCACGTAAGGGAGAATTACTGGCTTTAGGCACGGTTTGCGCCGATAGCATTTATCTCAAAGATGGTGGAGGGGCAAGCTGACGACGAGCAATACAAGGTGAACGCTAATTTGACGAATTTGACGTCTTCAACAACTTACAAATCTGTTGTCGCCTTTCTTTAGTTAAGATGGCGTTAACATTTACGGTTTCATTTTCGGATAACAACCGTACCGGATCAGAAAAAGGAATTAGCATTGACACTTGGCAGAATGAAGAAATATAAGTAAAAAGTAAAATTAACTGCTTCTCTTGATATAATCGACATTTTTGTCCGTTTTACAACTTATTCTAAATTTTTCAAAGTTTATTTAACTCACAATTTGCATAAAAATCCACTTGCACTTAGCATTTTTATTTTTTAAACAAATGCCTGGTACCTATACAAGATCCCCTAACTCGATGGCCTATTAAAAGTACATACAGAAGGAAGAAATCAGAAATTGCAGAGTTGCCACATCTACTCGAACTAGACACAACTTTTTTTTTATTGTATTTGAAGACACTATGAAAAATTCTAAAAATATTGAAATTATCTTCTAAAACTTTAGCAAAAAACATCATATGCCAATCATATCACCCGATCATGACATCAGGTTCAAGTTATTACATACAAAATTATGCACATTTGGAACAACGCTGCAACGTCCCAAATATTTGAGGAACGTTCAGCTTTTACTGGTGCGACACTGTCATCGTCCGGTTTAAAGAAACTAGGGGGCGCTTCTGGCGATGTGGAAACGAACCAAATCCGTAGCTATGGTATTACCCTCCCGATCGCGTGACGTGAGACCCGAACGGCCCATAATACCAACCGCATTCGTATCGAATGTACGTACATAGGTTATATACGGAATCATCATCATTAGTTCTGGCTAATTAAAAGGAATGCGATGATCGCGGCGTTCTTGTTAATCTCATTAACGCTGTCATCGTATATTTCGTCGCTCTCTCTCTTTCTCTCGATTTTTATCGTCCGTTAGTTCGGTTTCCGCTTGATCTTTTATCCGTTAAAACTGCTAACAATATAATTAAGACTTGGTTGCGGCGCCACCAGCGAAAGACCTGGAAAACCTGGTAACGTCAGTTTTTTAGAAGAATAATTTTATTCAATCCTGCCTTTTGTTTGTTTCTGTCCAACCATTTTGTTCAAATGCGTATTTTCGGCTTGGTTTTAAGTGTATTGGGAAAATAGTATGGAATAGAATTAGTTGTTGTACGGCATCTTCTACATTGCAAAATAAGTTAGTATCTGTATTTTTTTTATACAATGAGCTGCCCAGGCCGGGTAAATTAGGCAATTTTTGCCAGTTGTTAAAAGACTTACACAAACACAAATGACACCCAAGGCTCCCCCCGGTGGGAATCGAACCCACAACCTCCGGCAAGTTCGAGTTGGCCTTACCAACCGATCCATCCTCTGTCCCTAAGTATCTGTATTTAATGACGCTCACTTGACATTTTAACTAATCAAAACTAGTTATAGGTTGTTCTGTAGTCGATGAAAATCATGTTTTCAGTTGTATGTCTATTGACAAAACCCAATAACACCGAATAAGACTATTTTCGACAATAGTTTTATTACTCAAAATACCACATTAACCCATAATTGATTTTGTTATTATTCCCAAAAATTCCCAAACACAATGGCATCTCAGTCGACATTTTTAGTGGTGCTCCATTTAAGGGCGGAATTCTCACGTGTTGTCATCATTTTCGACTTTTTAGGAAGAGAGGTTAGAAAATCGGTTGTATGTATCGAAATTTTGTATTGTTTTTCAATCAAAATAAGCTTACATTTTTTTTAATTCAATTGCAGTTTTTTGCACCATAGCTAATGATAATAAAAATGCAACATCTAAACTGAAACATGTCGAGTTCACGGACCGTCAGCGGTCATGTTGTTGAAAGCCGCTAGGTTTTCTTAGTTGAAAACGACATCGACAACGACGAAATGACTCCGCATGCACATATTAAATCGGCTATCTCATTATTTTTTCGTCGACACATCAAAATTTTCTGTATTATGAGCATATATCTTTCTCGTCGTTTTCTCTGCGTTGACGGATCTGCTATCTCCGATGCTTCTACTTACATCTTAATTGCACAAATCCGGATCAATAAAATCAACGACGAAGTATGGAAGAAATGGACTCGCGTCTGGCATAAGTCCCTCTTAAATATATCAAAAGGCACCGACACTGACTCGTGTTCGACGTAAAGTGTCCGACCATCCGTGTCCTTTTGCAACGTTGTCGGGTTTACAGACCTTTTTTATTCTATTCAATATTTACGTTATTTTCTTTTGCGCATCAAACAAAAGATTAAGATGTACATGAGGCCAATAGATACGGGCATTAATCAGAATCGCAAAGCTACCTTAAATATTTTGAGTTCATCAGATCTTCAAGAGTTTTTCTGCAACTCTCACTTCAACATCATCTCATTTTTTTTCAATGTATTTATAGCAGCAATATGATCCGGAAGCATAGTATACAGCGGTGGTGCAAAATAATTACTTTCCCCTAGTCTCGTCTGACTTTAATGAAACCTTTTTTTGTAGTTTCTGTAGTAGTCTGATCTCCCGAAACAAATCATCACTAGAATAACCGAATTTTTTTTTATATAATATTTTAATAATCCATTTTTTTAGTATCTCTAAGTTGTTTGACTGACATTCGATAACCTTACCCCAAGCAAGGATTTCGTTAGACAGTTGTGACGGAACAATATACGTTTTCAAGTTGTGAAAGGGTTAGAAAGTCTTGCAGATATCTAAAACGCGGCAAAGTCCTGATATTTTTAACTACATTCTCTATAGGCAAGTCCCATTTGAGATGACCATCAATAATTATTCCCAGATCCTTTTTGCTTTCCAAAATCTCTGTGTTGTCATCTATCTTCAACTGACTAAGATTCGACAAATTGTTGGCGTATGACTTAAATGGTAAGTATCGTTTTATATAAGTAAGTAAGATAGTTTTATCAAAATTCAAATTGTACCGAGACCACAACACAAACATCATGAATTCGTTCTTTATGCATTCCTTTAAATTGCGTCTGGTTTGAACTCTTTGTCGTTAACGTTGGGTCAAGAGAATGGAGGTAGAAAATGGTAGAAAAATTGGTTAGTTACACATACTTTGGTTCCTTCAATTAA